GGGGGGGGGGGGGGGGGGGGGGGGGGGGCAGTGAGACAGCAACAGAGAGTCAGGGGTGGTGCAGATCAAGGCACGGCCTGAGAGTTGGACAGGTCAAAACCGGACACACTCGATTGGACTCCAAGAGATTCACGCGAAACCATACAATAAAAACTCGTCTCTGTTTTGAAGCTGGGTTTGCCGTTCGTCCCCCCAGCCCTTTCGACGGTTTAGACCACCTGCTACATTTCCCCCACAGCCCGGGTAAACCGTGTCTCCTTCGCCGAAAAACCAGGGTCCCTTGTAGGGATACAATTGTCAGATATTGAACCCGTTGGAATAAGCAGCATCCCCCCCTCGAGACCCAAAGAGAGTCAAGCTCATCTGTTCAAAAAGAGGGAGGCAAATCATGTTTCCTCGACATGTGACCAGTCAATGGTCGCTCCTTCGCCGTCAACCCTGGGTCCCCATGGACACATTTCGCACCTCTAACCGGGTGGAATCAGCAGCACTTACCTCAAGACGCCAAGGGAGTCAAGCTCAACTGCAAAAAGCAAGCAAGACGCAACAAACTGCATGTACCACGACGTGCCACCACCAAAAGCAAAACAAAAACATGAAACTACTCCGTACCGTAGGACTTCCCCCGTCTGCAGCTGGGTCACTATGGTGGGGATCAAAGTGGGCCACTGATCGGGGAAGTCGTAGGAGGCTACCAGCCTGAGCGTCTCCGCCAGTATGTCTCTCACGCTGCTGTCCGTCTCCCGAAGGAGGGCCTCAAAGAGGTTCACCCTTGAGAAAAAGAAAAAAAAGTGCAGCAGTGGTAGTAGTTGGAAAGGCGTTTGGCGCACGTGCGCGAAGAAAAATCAGGAAAGGGAGAGGGCCGCGGTGACATGACAGGAGGAGGGAGGGGGGAGGGCAGGGGAACTTGGTATGGTCTGTTCGGTTCATTTGTATCCTCGGAAAGGGCGTCAGATGGGCCTGAGCACTACTATAAGTACCTTCATCGAAGTGTAATTTTTTCACCCTTCACGGGAATCGCCATCGCAGGAACATCGAGCGAAGAGTGAAACAGGAGACAACGACCACGATCAAAATGACACCAGGGGCGGCATGACACCAGGGGCGGCGGTAGGGGCGACGGCCACGGTTCTGTGTCCCGAAACAAGAATCCCAAAAATGGACAAAAACGATGACGGGGAAGCGACTACGACAGCGACGACCGCCACCACTAGATAGCGCCATACGTATGTACAACAGATACCTGAACGTTGCCTTGTGCTCTGGTAGGAAGGTGGCAGGCGTCTTAGCCTCGGGGTCAGGGGACCACTTCCCCCGAACCGTGTTCTTCAGGGCGATTGCCGCAGCTTGCCGCACCGCCCTGTCCACCTGTGTATTGAGACCGATACCAAACCAACAGCGGCAAGAAAGCGGGCTGCTGAAAAAACAAAATAATTTTGGAATTTTGATCGATACCAAACCAACAACGCGGGCTTCTGAAAAAAACGCAAGAATCTTGGGAAATTGATACCAAACCAGCGGCAAAAAGCCGGTTGCTGAAAAATACGCAAGAATCTTTGGGATTTAGATCGACACCAAACCAGCGACAAGAAAGCAGGCTACTGAAAAAACACAACATAATCTCGGGATTTTGACCGATACCAAACCAAGAACGCGGGCTTCTGAAAAAAACGCAATAATCTTGGGATTTTGACCGATACCAAACCACCTGCAAGAACGCGGGCTGCTAAACAAAACGCCAGAATCTTTCTGGGAAACCTCCCAAACTTTAACTTCGAGAGGTTTAGAGAACACCAGTCTGGATGTGACGTCAAAAGGGAGATATTTTTGTCGCCCCCAACGGACTGCTGTGCGATTGGAACTCGAAACCGGTCCCACAATCGGATATATCGAATGCGTGATATGAAACGGTCAGAGGAGGCTAGGGTAAGACTGTAGAAAAACTTAGGATCACCTGTGGCTCGACGACGATTTGGAGCAGCAGCATCAGGCACTCCGGCGCCTGGCACAAGGCAGCCAGCTGGGCCTCGGCAGCCTGCGAGAGAAAAACAGCCGCATGCCCGCAGGAGGGGTGGCTAGGGGGCCTCAGGGAGGGAAACCGTCCTGTGTGACCACGGGTTCTGGAGTAAAAGGCCACAAGTGCTGTGAGGGCTGATTTGAAGTGAAGACGAGAAACAAAAACACAGGGGAGCCGGACAACTTCCGCAGGGGCACTGACAAAGACGGCGAGAAGTAGGTGGGCGTTATCATCGATGGACCAACACAACGGCAGACATCACATGGAGAATGCCTACGCAAAAAAAGAAACTTCATTACGAAAAAGGACCAGGCAGGGGGCACGCAGGACCCCAACCCTGATCCCAACTTAGCCAATAATATTCTCCATACAATAGGTTTGCTTACGAAACCTGCGTAGACTACAGATGATGGCTTTTGCAAACAATGCCACGAACGTAGCTGCTCTTGATGGATGCGATGGCACGGACAGTGTCAACGGCGGGGGGGGCACCGTAAAATCGAAAATGCTACCGTCCACTCTCGGGGCGGGTATCCGATGGGAGTAAAGTTGGTGATTGCTCGGGCGGCAGTAGTAGTGCCACGGCAAAAGCAGTTGCGGATCAGATACCGACCACTCGGCCAGGATACACATGTAGGACATGAGCAGCGTCGACCGGTTTCACACAAGGTAGGCTATATATAAACGAGAGAGAGAGATCAAAAGCTGCATCTGCTGTTTGCGAATATAGCCCTCGATAGCCAACGAAGAACCAAACTGCTGTGATTCTTCCGGGAGCGCGTGGTCTCAGATACCCGGTGAAAGGTAAGACTCAAAAAGCCTTTTTCCCGGCAGCGCCAAAAGCGTCAACTCTGCTGTCTACTTCAAGTATATACCTTCCGTTGAGCAGCATCGGAGGTGAAGGTGTGCAGCAGCACCGCGTGAAGGCCCTCCGCCGAAAGCGGCCCGACAGCTCCTCCCGCAGCGCCGGCCATCTCTCGTGCAAAACGAGTCTTACTTGTAGCCGCCTTTTGAGAAGGCCCCTTTGCGTTCTGTTCTGACGCCGCCGGGACTAGCGGAGGAGACAAGGAAAGGGGCGTGGGTGGGTCAAACAGAGACGCAAAAGGTGAGGGCCAGCAATCTGTCGGTGTTCGCACACAAGTTACATAAAAGCAGAACGCAAACCGAGGCAGTGTACTTCAACTCCCTCTTCGGGGGTTCGGTCCGTGTTTGCCGATGATGTAGCAGCAGGCAAGTCAAGCCTGCCTCCTGGTTGGTGCCGACACCTCACGACGACGCGCTACGACGCGTTCTGGGACCGCATACAGCGGGGTGCTCCTCAACAACGCCGTTTAATGCCATCGGTGGCCCTGAATAATTAGCGTTGGTGAAACTGCTGCGCACACACTGAATCACCAAGTGACCCCTTAACCCCTTTGGGGCTAGATCGCCTTTTGGGGACACTTTTTTTCCCCATCTTCTTCATCTGCTTTGCCTCGCGAAGAATAGCATGATCGTCTCCTCCTTTGAACTACTCGACCAGGGGGTGCCAGGGTACACGGGGACGACTATAGTCTAGTATGGATGCTTTGTAGAATGGAGGAGTATGAGGGTAATGGACAGGTCGAATCGCGGGGCGATTACGCCGCGGGTTCAACAGCGAAGTTGCGCCTCGTCTGTCTACCCTAGGGTGGAAAGCGCTACTAGGGGCAAGCGCGGAAGGAGTACCTAGCCCACCGTTGATAGGAGGCACCGGGCGCCCTAGGGCTTGGGTCAGAAGATCTCGCATTCCCTCTAGACCAACATCTTGAAAACCTCCTTTTCGTGCCCCGTTTACCACGCTCCCGCCAGTTGCTGTCAATAATCCCTATCAAATGTCCCGTCGATAATCGAGGGGACATTAGATAGGGATTATAGACAAGAGACGGCATAAGTGGGAAGGCAGCTTTGCACTTGCACCCAGGGATGGAACTGCCTGCACCATCCAATCAGCAGGCACGGTTTGCTCTTTTTCTTACATTTCAGTAATTCCGCAAGAACGACGAATTTTCTGTGCGTGGTAGGGGGGTTAATAAAGCGCCGATCCCTTTGATTAGCGTCAGCGGTCGATTGGCCGGGCGTAAATCGGCGACAAATTGAAGGCCCCCCCACTTACACAAAACCAAACAAGGCATGACATGTAATGTACCCACAGCAGGCATGGAACATCGCGTTAGATCAGGAGACTCCGAGTCGTTCGAACCTTCTAAATTTGGTAACCGAAAGCAAACTATTTGAGCAGTGCTGACCCTGTAGACTAATGGTTCGGCTGGCAAACGGGGTGGCTGGCAACGGTTTGATTCTCGTTTCGGTATCCAAAGAACAGGTTGTTGCTACCTGTTGTAGCAGTTGCGAACTAACACCGTACATGAACATGACCGTTGAAGCTTTCGGGCAAAACCAAGCGCGCAGTCAGCCAATTTCTCTGTCGAGAGCAGCCAACACCCTTCATGTTGTCGCTGCTGCCGACACTGCATGCAGTAAACCAGTTTGAGTCGTTTCGCCGTATGTGGGTGCTGAGAGAGAGACAGCGCGTGTCCGCATCCTGCGAAGGCCCCAAACTTTCAATTTTCAAAACTCTCTTGACATGGCCCCGCCCCTGCCTCTCTGTATGTCGACGGAACTGTTGCACACAAAACGACCAAAGTTTTCATGACAGCCATCCTGTGAGGTAGCGCAGTACTTCATGCTAATCGCACCACACGAGCAAGCTCAGGTCAAGGTTGGGGGTGAAGGTCAAATCGGCCACATGCGGGCAGCAGCTGAGCCACCAAGCGCGACACACTTCGGAGAGGACAGACTGGATTTTTTAATATACTTCTAAAGTACGAACGGCCGACACACAACTCGCATAGAGCACGTGACCATATTCCGAGCAGCAGCGGGTGCTGCTGCCGGAGGTGGTTAACCGAACAACTGGTACCCTTCCAAATTCGACGAGATGGGGATGTGGAGAGGCAATAGAACAGACCACGAGACGTGAGTCTAGACCACAAAATTCAAACTTGGTGGGCTGCTGCCCCAGAGCAAGTGTGGGAGCCTACCTCGCTTCCCGTTTCACGACGCCTTGATACTAGCCCCTGCGAAGGAGGACAAGCACTTGGTTCCCACGGATTAATTAGAAAACAGGTCTGACTGAGGTCGTGATGGACGCGCAGACCAGGCAGTGCAGCACAGCAGCAACCCAACGGAGCCTACACGAGCCTACGAGCAAGCCCCGGGGTGACGCAGATTCATTCTTGCTGAATGGCATGTGTGCGATTTGCAGCAGTTGCATTTCACGGAACTCTGCCCAGCATGTGTCTGGATGGTGGTGTCTCGTGTCTAGCAGTGGGAGTGTCCTGGCAGTGCGTGGTGGCTGGTGCAGCGTGCTACTGCTGAGAAAAGCTCTCATTGTGCTCGCGATCGGGGGACGACGTGTGGAGTCAAAGACGCAGAGGACTTTTCGAGGGAGAGAAAAGAGAGACTAAAGACCAACGAAAGGAGTCTCTGGGAGACAACCGATCCATCAACAGGTGCAGTACGATGAGCCACAGCCGTGTTGCCGCTGCAACCACACAACATTAGTCGAACTCAATAATGACTACCGAATATCGAATCATGGTTGGCGTTGATGCATGCTGCTTGTGGTTGTTGGCTAGCTCCAATCTTTGACAGCCAACACCGCCATTCGTGGGAGGCCATTCTCTCGTGTTCAACATGTGTTGTGTGAACCGTTACAACGAACGAAACAACCGGTCAAACCGGTGCCTGTTTGTACGGCAGTAAGGTGCAGGCAGCAGTGCAGCAGCAGGAAGTTATTCTAGACCAGGCAGTACTGCAGCAGCAGGCAAGTCAGACTCTTGATCCTTTCGCCTTCCCATATGGTGGTGCAACGTTCAAGCTATCCTCCAGCCTTTTCTTGGGAAGGATGTGTTGATGCACGTACATGCACGAGACTCAAATGAACGTGTTAAGTTCGACGGTTTCGCGCTGCAATTGTACAGCACCACACACTCTCTCCGTTGGAAGCGACGCGCTGCAAAACCCGTTGTTAGTAAACTTGATTACTTCATCAGTCGCGAGGGAAGGGGTTGCTGTACCCTTCTCGCGATAAAAATATCTCAGGCAGGAACCGCAGGAGGGGGTCCAACCCCCCCCTCCTCTGTGACCCCGGTTGGGTCGTCTAGCTGGTACAAGTGGAGGATAGGGGCCAGAGGGGCAGACGACAGAGTCCAACGATGGGAGACAACAAACAAACAAAACAAAACAAAACACAGCGTAGGTTGCCCATTTTACCCTGGCAGCTGGTTGCCATTGTGGATCAGTTGATAACCTCCCAACCATCTAGGGTTTATACGTGAGTTAGAATGCCGCAGCTTCAAGCACACGACTTGTATTTTTTGCTCGGATTGTGTCCCAACAATCATGGACAGCGGATGAGTCTTGTAAATTGAATCCGTGAGTACTAAATGTTCGACTTCAACGTGAACCAGGGGATGGAACGGCTGGGTCCTTCTCTCGACATGACGAAAACAAGCACCGCAGAAGAAGGTGGAGGGGGGGGGGGGGGGGGACTGCATTGCCTCCCGCNGGGGGGGGAGGGGACTGCATTGCCTCCCGCTGGTGCGTCCAAAACACACACCAAGAAGAGGTGTTGAAAATCGACGTCCCGAGTAAAAGGGGATAAGCAGCCACACACACACCATGCCGTCCCATCACGGGGTCCCAGTTCGTGACATTTAGAGCTGTTTGGTGTTTTCAACCGCACTGAGAATGAGGTCTTTCCATTGGTCAGCCGGTCAATGCCGTCGATGTTATTAACAAAGACACACACATATTGATTCCTCCGCTACATACCCTCTCGTTCTCGTTCCGTGCGGGAGCAGCGGTGATCGATGCCTTCTTCTTCCCTCTGCGGGTGGGCCCTGGCTCTGTCTATCGCACAGCTGCTGCTGTGCAACGCTCGTGGAGAGCGAGCGGTCTCGCCAACAACGCCGCGACATGATGTCGGAAACCCGTTAGCGTCTGCGGCGCTCCCATCCTTCTTTGTGGCGCCTTCTACGGTTTTGGGTGGGGTGTGGATGGGAGCAAGACGGGGAGAACGAGCAATCTCCGGGGGAAGAAATCGGCGCTTCGAAAGGGTGTCGTGTTTGGAGGCTAAGAAGAGCGAGATAAAGGCCGAAGAAGCTGAGTTTAGGTGAGCGTTTGGTCTTGTCTTTGCTGCTGCTGCTGCTGCTGCTGCTGCTGCCCAAGAACAGTGGCGTCTTGCTGGCTTTCTTGTACGCTCTCCCTCGAGAATGTTGTTGTCACGCCGGGGTGCTAGCTTTCCTCTGTTGCTGGGCTGTCTTATATATAGATGCTGCCCTGAATTGTTTTGTCAATCCTGTTGAAAGCAGAGGGCAAGTTACCTGTGTGAGGAGCTGCACGTTTCCAGCCTCCTCCACTGTGCGCGAGAAGGGGTGTCATGCCGGCAGGAGGCGCCGGCCAACCTACTCCAGTATCTGTCTATCTGTCCTTCTCTCTCATTATCTCTTTGTCCTTCTCCCCCCCCCTCCCATTGCCTCTCTCTCTCTCTAAATGTATGTCAACCTATCTATCTATCAACCTCTCTATCTGTTCATCTACAATCAGTCTCTCTACCTCTGCCTGCTTGCATGTCTGACTTATTCTCAAACACACACTCTTTGGGGTTGAACGTGCGCTTGAGTTCTTGTTGTGCAGGTTGTGCAGGTTGATCAATCGAACATGAAACAGTGACATTTACATTTGCTGGCCGTTCTTCCTCCGCATTACCCCCCACCCCACCCACACTACACAGGGCGGCTGCTAGAGAGCTCGCAAAAATGGAAAAAAAGAAGGAGAATAAGACGAAGGTCAGCGCGACTGTTTAATCTTGTTCGACGTCGATGCTGCCTGCGGTTTCAGTGGATGTTAGAAATGGACTGACGCGCTTCATCCCGGCTTCTGGCTGATCGATCTTTGGGGCTATTGGCGTCAGCGTTGCTGTTGTTTTTTTTCTTGATTTCAGCGATGTGTGTTGCGGCTGCTGGTATATGTCGCCCTCGTTGCCTTTATTTGCAAGACAGTTGTATCGGTCTCTTAGGCATATTCCTCGTTGGCAGATGTTCCAAACAAACTCCCACCTTTCGGTATCCCTTGTCGACAGGGTGCGGATATTTCTTCGCTTGTTGGTCGGAAGCATGTGCGGAGTCTTGAATCACGCCCTTCTGTAGCCCCTCCTAGCCCTTGGGCCTCTTCACGCCTGGAGGCCTCATTTTAGGCTCTCCAGTTCCATGGCCGTCGCTCTGCACGAAATCATGCCAGTCCGTCGATTTCCGCACCGAGACGGAAGGCCCGTTTTTTGTCCACACGTTGTTCGGAATTCAAAGATGGACAGCTGTTGGTGTTGTTGCTTTCACAGAAACAGCCGTTCACGTCAAAGCACACTACAGCAGAACGGTAGGGGTCCACCTGACGTACCCTCCTATCAGCAAGAAGGCTCAGAAGAGTTATGGCGGGGCCAGTTTCGTTGTCTCGCCACCCCACCCGTGACATACCTGGCTACCACGCGACCGCCATTGCGTTCGACCGCCCCCCCCCCTTCATGCGACTCGCCGAATACCTCACGGCGCTTCGCGCTTGGTGATGTGAGAGCCTGGTCCGGTGAGAACCCGGCGTGCTCCGTCCCGGCTTTGTAGGGATGCGAGGTCAATTGTTTAACGACCACGGCATGCACGGGTACGATTGCTGTTGTTGTTGTTGTTGTTGTTGTCTTCACATTAAAAACCGTTCCAATCTCTCTATCCAGTACCTCCTTCTGTCTCAATCTCTCCGTACTAATCCATNAATTGTTTAACGACCACGGCATGCACGGGTACGATTGCTGTTGTTGTTGTTGTTGTTGTTGTCTTCACATTAAAAACCGTTCCAATCTCTCTCTACCCAGTACCTTCGTATGTCCGTACTGATCCAACAATTACGTCTGGTCGATAGGAGCGCGCCCGAAAGCGCGAGGAGAGAAAACCCAAGGCGCCGAGGGGGAGGGTGGGGGACCCGCAGGACGACCAGGATGGCCCGGGGAAGGCCGGCAGGAACCCTTTCAAGAAAGAGAAGATCGTGTCCAAGTTCGGCGCCAACGACATCCGGAAGGTCGAGTTCGTCGGTAGCTACGACGACCAGGAGGAGATATGGCCCAGGGTAAGGGTTCCAGGAAGAGGGGGGGGGGGGGGGGGGGG